CAACGACAGCGAATATACTGTTGTCACACACACTGAACTGCACATGCACGATTGTATTCACATGCATTTGCTGTATGTCTGCATACGTGACAACATTTGCTTTGTTGAGACAGTTAGACGGCAGCTAACTGGCCCAGGCGTGCAGACTCATCCTCAGACTGCAAACTCAGGATTACGTAACGGCTGAAATCTCCTGTACCAGCTAATACAGATCCAAGTTACACAGCAGGTTACCCAGCGGCTTTGTGCAACACTGTCAGTGGGGGAGGGGAAGGGTCGAAGGGATCAACATCCTCATTATATTATGCAGTGTTCCAAAGAGGACACATGCAAGTACACAGACTGTGCACACTCCTGTTTTGATTTACTTTGACAATACTTGTCAGCTTATGTCTAGACCTGGAAATTTGACGTTTCCTACACACGCTGGACACAGTTGACCATTTACGGCACGTGGACCGGCTGGCCAATCAGAGCAGACTGGGCTTTATCAGGAGGGCCGCCTTAAAGAGACAGGAGCTAAGATTTCAGACAGTTTCTGAAATTAGCTGCAGCAATGGACAGAGTGAGGAGAGGGATGTGTTTTGTGAACTTTAGATCGTTTAAACCTTTTTCGAGTGATAATATGATATGAGGATAATATGTCTGCATTACTGATCCTCATAAACATTATATTTATTGGGTGCCATTTGTGTGTGAACAGAGTTTTTTTTTGGCTTTATATTCTTTACTTAGATATGAGCAACCTTGTTTTTTCTTTTTTTTTTTTATCTCAGATATTCAGCAGAAATTGGCAGCGGTGCAAACTGGACCAGTGCCCATCTTTTCACCCTGTGATAATAATCACACATTAGAGAAAGAGATGCCAGAGATGCCTAACCTACCCAACTGAGCAGCTCCTGCATACCGTCCTGGTTGTGCATATCGATAACGGCCTCTGGAGTTGGCAATGTTCCTGGAAACTTGATATTTGACTCAGTGTTCCAACAAAATAAGGACTAAACAGTATGACTTCTCCGTAAAAGACCAAAAATCTAAACTGTAACATTTCAGTTTATTTTAGGAAAACTATTCTGCCATGTATAATACATGCAGCAGATCTACGACACCTATTTCCTTTGCTTCTTACTGTTATTTTGGAGGAAATGTCAGCAGGAAGAAAAAAGCTGGTGTCCAACCAGGCAAGAAATATCTGCTGATTCTGTTCCTACTTCAAGCTGATCCTGAAAGAGCTCTGCCTTCTAGTTTTTCACTCGTGCTGCCGTGGCCCACTTTTACAAACAGCAGAATCGAGCCTCTTCCCACACCCTTCTTATATATTTATTTTCTCCAGCTCCCCACAGCCTGCGAAGGACAAGAGGTATAGATAATATATAGATAGATAAATCAGAAATACTTTTTTATTTCTCTAAGCTTCCAGGCCTTTCAGTAATTAATTTGCCTTATTATTGTAGTCTCCCCTATTATATGTTTCTAATTGTTGATAAATGAGAATAAAGAAAAATACTTGTCTGATCTCTCTGCACCAGAAGATCTCCTCCTACACTTTATCTACTATTTCTCTATTTTCACAGAATAGATTTATAAGACACATACTGTAGCTTGAACAAGGATCAACTAGAAAGGTTTTAAAAAGACTATGTGCAGTAGATGAGCAGTGTCTTTATCCCCAGGCTGGTCCACAGTGGTTTTGAGCCGGTTGATATAGTCGGGTTATAAAAGGCAGAACTCTTCGCAGGTGGTGAAGAAATTAATTGAATGCGCAGTTGGAGAGTCCGTTAGTTTCTGCGATGCAGTGATGGTATTTTTTTCTTGGCCCTGGGAATGATTAAAATAATCCATCACGTGTCCAATGACATTTGGCCCGTTTCAAGTGTCAGAAAATCTTGTTTTATTGGATTAATCCAGTCTTATTTCTCTTTGAATTGAATTACTGAAGCTTGTGGTCGGAGCTATAGACACATGATGTGAAGGTGTGATGTGAAATGACACTGACGACTGAAATGCATTCCTGTGACTGCACACAGAGGTCAGCTGCAGTTGGCACTTCGGAGCATTTGCAAAGACAACCGCAGCACCTCCCCCTCCCCCACCACCTCCACTACTTCGCCAGCTTTGCCCATGCCTTTGGGTTTCTTTGCCCTTGCATTGTTTTCTTCTGACAGCAGTGGAATCCGTCTCCTAAACGTGGTGCATCAGGCTGTGCACGTCTTAATATTTGGGTTCGTCTCATGTATATAATTATAATGATAAAATACAGAATGACACAGAAAGTCATTACAAAAAAATCAAATTTATCCTTGCTGCAGCTTTCAATTTCAGTCTTCCCTGTGTTTATACTGTCGGGGATGTAGAGTTGTCTTTCAATCCAACTCTGAATGTATTTAAAGATGGACGACATGACGGCTCCTCAAAAATCAATAATAACCAAACCGTTTTTGGCAGAACAATGGCCACAACAATGACATCTCCGCACTTTGACCTTTTAGCTTGGATGGCAGCACACTGAAGGGGAATGCCAACATTGTTCCTCCTCTGCGGTTCCTCAGGCCAGGCTACAGTATGTAGGCCACCGTGTATTTGTGCGTCTCTGTTCTCCCCTCATTAGTGTGTAGTTGAGAAACAGTGCTGTCACTCTGCTGTCCAGGCCTGGGGTGATTCCGTGAAAGCGGCTCCTCTTGACTTTGACTGGGCTGCATTGTCCTTTGTGCACTGGAGGTGGCCTGAATCAGAACTGGGGAGGATCAGGGAGGTGGCATCCTTCATCCTTGGAGGAGTAACACACAATGAAGTCCATTATTATTTTCAACAATTGACTGTTTTTACCTTCCACATCTTTCCATTTGTTTGTTGGTTTGTACATTTATTTTTGGTCGGTCATCAAGAAATCTTAAAACAGATTTCCATGAAATTTTTTGGAGAGGTGGAGCCTGACCAAAGGAAGAAACCATTTAATATTGGAGCGGATAAGAAAAACATAAAGATCCAGTGTTATTTTTTTTAACTTTCTTTAATGTGGCAAGACAGTGTTATCCTTGGTGGATGTTAAGTGAGTAACAGCGCCCTCTACAGCCACATAGGATGATTAGTTCTGTTGGGTTCTATGTGTTGAATGGAGCTCTGACTGTGAAGTCCCACTCACTGAACAGAAAAGGTGGTAATTACCCATGATCCCCAGCTCCCTGAATCAGAAGAGCTGCTGATTAACAAATTCACCAAACTCTGTTTAGATTCTTCGTATTGAAAAGTCTCCCGGCTGAATATTTGAGTTAAACTCTGATTTGTTGACTTTAAAGTCTGTTAAACCAAATCTATAGTTCGTCATTACTCGTGAGCTTTCTGGATCTAATTCTGCCTGTTTAACCTGCGGCTGTCGGGTACACGCTTTTCACACAGCATCGCACCAACACACCAAAGCTACGTACCAAGAACAGACGTTCAAGGTGAGGAGTGGGAATGAAAGAGGAAACATTTTCCCTGTTTCAAGTCACTGACCCATCAAAGTAATTTGGAGTCTGTCATTTTAATGTAAAATAACTTGTATAGTGTTGATATAATATATTTGTTAGGGGCTAAGGGGAATGAACACCTTTTCTCTTTCTTGCATAGTTTCACACCTGATCAGCAAAACTAAGTGCTGCTGTAGCTGAGCTGTGCTGAGTCTGCAGATCAGGATCTATTGCTGGTTTTGCAGGTTGCTCCTGTCACGGTTCTGTGAGAAATGTTTGCAATTATATTAAAGGTATGCAAAGCACTTGACAAGTCTACTTGTGGGCATTTGAACTGCACACAACAAAGTCAGATGGTGTTAGATGGCGTCCAGAGATATAACTTGCCTCGAGTTTAACAACTTGCAGTATGGCTTTAGATGGAGAACTTTACTTCAGTCTTTTCCACTGAGTAATACATTTTAATTTAGTGATTAATTTCACTGTCATGTTGTGTAACCTCCAAACAGAACGAAAACAACATCTCTGAATTGGATCATCACTCCTCGAGCAAGTTTTACACAACTCATTATCTGCAGTGCTGTGGGTCCCTGAGGTCCCTGAATGCCTCATTCCTGGTCCCTGTGCACAGTCCTCTGAGAACAAACCTGATTTACTTGTTTTCATCCAAAAGTGTTATTGTTTATGCATCTTTTATCCAGCTGCACTTTAACACACGTCAACCTCAGCAACACGACTGCACATATGATGCGTTACACACAGTTTGTTGGCTTGTTTGTCAGCAGGATTGGACATGGGTCAAGAAATAACCAGGAACTCCAGGAACATTTAACTCTTTAGTTCTAGTTTTCACCTACAACCATGTCGTTGTTCATTTCCTCACTTTTTTAGTCTAAATCTGCTTCTATCAGTTACTCTGCTCTCTGCTCAATAGACAAAACAGTGTTCTTGGACAAAGGTGCTCTAGTTTTAGGCAGCGTGCCCCCACTCCTACTCAGCAATGAGTCTGTCAAATCAGTCCACCTGGGCTTTGTGATTATGCTGAACGCCAGGAAATGCTTTTTTTTTTTACCCTGTTAAATTCAGCTGGTTCAGGTGATGCATCATCACAAATCCTCAGTTTCACGTGGCACAGCCGGCATCTCTGAAAACTGAAAGCTAAGCATTTGGCGACAGATGGAGCTGGACCTAAAAAGTGAATTAAATCATCACTTCAGGTGTTCCCTGAAGTCGGTGCAGTTTGGGTTTGTGTTGTAAACAGCATGTTGTAGTGGTGGTGCATGACGAGCAGATTTATGCTTGGATATAAAATAAATTCAGATCAAGTTCTGTCCCAGAGTGATGTTACTGTCAACATACTTAATAGTAAAGTGGAGAACGAGTAAAAGAACTTGTCTTTTAGCATGTCTTCTTTTACCTAGAAGCACTCCTCACTCAGTTCTTCCGGGGTTCTCTGTCTCAACATGATCAGCACTTAAACCTGCACTTGCACAGGTGATTAAAAGGTCGTACAGAGATAAATGTTGGTCTCTTTTCTGTTTGTGTTTACAGGAAGAAGTCCTTTCTCTTCTCTGCCCTCTACGCTGCCATTATCCTCGGGGGCCGTCATGTCATGAAGCAGAGGGAGAAGTTTGAGCTGAGGAAACCTCTGGTGCTGTGGTCGCTCACGCTTGCTGCTTTCAGGTGAGAAAGAGTTTTCACATTTTTAGTTTTTAAGTGTATGTTGATTTTGTATCACACAGAGATATGTCTTGTTGTCCGTCTTTATAAACATTATATGTTTAAAACATGCAGCATATTTGACCAAATTAAAAAAATCTGAACAGTGGTCATATAGTATTTCTACTTGTTAATACTCTGTCTGTGTACTGTGTCTGTGTGTGTGCAGTATATTTGGTGCCATCCGTACTGGGAGTTACATGACGTACATCCTGATGACAAAAGGGCTCAAACAGTCAGTTTGTGATCAGAGCTTTTACAACGGGCCCGTCAGCAAGTTCTGGGCGTACGCCTTCGTACTCAGTAAAGCACCAGAACTGGGTAAGTCAACACCTTCTTTAAGCTCACGTGTCTCATCATGCACGCTGGTAATATAATGTTTCTCACAAAAACAGCCTGTCCAGTGCTTTTTCGAATAATACCAATCCTCCTGTTCCCATCCCTTCATTCATTATTCTTCTCTAGGTGACACTCTCTTCATTGTCCTGAGGAAACAGAAGCTCATCTTCCTCCACTGGTACCACCACATCACCGTGCTGCTGTACTCCTGGTACTCCTACAAAGACATGGTGGCCGGTGGCGGGTGGTTCATGACGATGAACTACTTGGTCCACGCCGTCATGTACTCTTACTACGCCTTGCGGGCGGCCGGTTTCAAGCTGTCGCGCAACTTCGCCATGTTCATTACACTGACCCAGATCACCCAGATGGTCATGGGCTGTGTTGTCAACTACCTGGTTTACTCGTGGATGCAGCAGGGGCAGGAGTGTCCATCCCACATGCAGAACATTGTGTGGTCGTCCCTCATGTACCTCAGCTACTTTGTGCTCTTCATCCAGTTCTTCTTCGAGGCCTACATCGGCAAGTCCAGATCATCAGCTGCGGCCATCACCAAGAAGAGCAAGTAAAAGAAAAGAAACTGCCATAAGTATGGGAATTAGGGAGATAATGAAGATAGAAGGAGTTTTAAATGGAGAGCAGGGACCAGTGGCTTGAGAGGCACAGTGAGGGGGGGTGGTGGTGTATTAAGAGGTGGCCGGGGATGTGGGGTGGGGTCGGAAGGGACAAGAGGATGGCCGGTGTTTGTGCTTAAGCATTACTAATAATGTGCAGATCTAAAAACGCCTCCTCCGAGGTGACGTGTCTGTTGAGCGACGCCGAGGATGCTGCGCAGCCATGAAGCCATCACGATGACTTGTCCCCCTGAAGTGTAAAACCCCCTTTTTTGAATCCAACATTAAATCGTTCTTAAAAGATAAAAAAAAAAAAAAAAAAAAAAAAAAAAGTACATTTGCCACAAGCATTTGTGTATCCGATATTAAAAAATACAATTAATCCGTACATATGAAGATGGATGGAGTCTGTATCAACTTGAGCCATCTGAGTATGTTTTTGTCTGTTGTCTGTGTTTGTTCTTTCGTTTGGATCTGTCGGAGAAAAGGTTTGAGCTGCTGTGTGTTGGCGGCGGATGTGAAACCGATGGGGTGAACGGCACTGTATCTTCTGTGTCTTACGTTGCAACACGCGATATATTTCTCAGGTCTTTAGGTTATCTCCTTAATACAATATGCATATCAAGACAAGGTAGACATGTTTAACATCAGCAGGGGTTTACAGTACGGCCGCACGGTTGTGGAACGATTGGACTGACTCGGACGATCACACCGCTCCAGGGCACGATGGGAAACAGATGCTTCACCGTTCGTCATGACCTCGCAGAAGCTGCCGACCACACTTGGAAAAGGACTTGCCATGGATTCTGTCTGTGTTGAAGGGTCCCTACCAGTGGAGAAAAAACCCAGAGTCTGTTGGACACTGAAGGCATAAATGAAGGACAAACAGATTTATGTTTAGCAAATGAAAAAAAAAAATCAAACATGCAATTTGTCAAAAATCTGCTGTTATTGACTTAAAATAGTATGTATCATTAATGGGGTCTGTTGTGCTATCGTGCATTTGCACTGTATCAATGTCAAAAACAATTGTTGCTGAAAAACGTGACGTACGAACAAAGAGTGCTCAAATGTGACGTGCCTGTCGTCTACATTTTTTTTTGTCTCAACTGTGTTATCTTGGTATTACACAATCTTCTTCTTTTATGGGACACTTGACAGATATACCATGACCAATACTCAGGTCAGAGGGCGATTATCAGTTATAGATATCAGTATTATCTGCTCAGCTGTTTACACAGACTGTATATAAAGATCAAGAAGGTTATGATAACACATTACTGTCCAATATCAAGAAAACTTTATTATAAATAGCTTTAGATGCTCATGACTGATTCTTATTGGAAATAACTATCCAGATGGTGTTAGAGTATATCCATGAACAGGTCCCTCAAAAGTGAAGACAAAGGATTTGACTCACACCCTGGTTGCTGCAGTACAAAGAAGAGAAACCCATTGGTGACATCATGAATATTACACATACACATATTAATATCTGTAGTATAACCCCAGATAAAATTGTCACAGCACTTGATTGTAGATTTTAATGCTTATTGTATTTAGTGAATATAAATATTTAAAAAGATCAATACAGGTATCTCCTACTCAAACTGGAATTTATTGATGGACAGCCCTGTGGCCTGAGGTGAACCTCCAACCTAAAACTCACTTCACTGTCATTTATGCACAATGGGAGGAAGTGGAGTCGTCTTACAATTAATCAGTCAAATAAAAACAGTAAAAAAACTGTCACTAAGTTCGAGTCTCAACAGGTGAATGAGTTAAAAATCCAAACTGCCAGGTGAACGTTACACTTTCTCCTGGATGCATAAACGAGTCTGAGGAATCTGAAAAGATCTTCAACACTGAGGTAAGTGACAGAAAAAATGTCCTGAAAGGTTTTAACAAAGGATTGGTTTTAATCCTCAGTCAACTCAGATGCTTATCTTATCTTGTTTCACTTCACTGAGCCTCACCTGAAACTGCCAGGAGTCTCTTGGAAAACCTTCATGTACGCCAGTTTTTTAAGAACTTACATGGAACTGTCAAAGATCTTATCTTTAAATGCATCCATGCTCATGATCTGTGCTCATGATCTGACAATGAATTTAGGCAATATCTCCAAACCATTTCATAATATGAAACATTTCTCCCAATTGAAGGAATCGATGTTTATACATTAAATCGATCGATAGATTGTTGATTTATTCTTTTACAAATTATATGTCACAGTTTGTGCAGAGTGGGTTTCTTTACACACCGTCGCCATCTGCTGGAAGAAAGTCAGTGCAGCCTCACATGTAAATTATTAGGAACAATACTAGCAAATGATCCGAATAAATAATATGTCTATGGAAGATATGTACGTGGAACTAGCAACTCTAGTAATTGGGATTTTTGAAAACATGGTGTCAACACAAGAAATGATGTGTGTTGATTTTACTTTGGTCTGATCATGGTTTAATGTGAGTATATAAAATTTTCGATCAACTTCTCTCTATCTTCACAAGCAGGAAGAAGACAGAATACATGTCCTCTCTTAAAATCTGTTAAAACTACTTCATATTTTCCATCATCAGTATGTTGCATGAATTAATACAGCATTTGAAAAAAGAAAATATATATTCGAAATGAAATTCATGAATCAAATATCTCCAAATACATCGTCTGATATTATTCAATAATTTGGAATAGCTACAAACACTATTTCAATGTAAATGTGACGTATCTGTGCTGTAATGATCTATGTTACATCAGGATTATGGTTTTAAATCAGTGTATCTAAATCTTCCTTACTGCCCCTCAGGAGATTAAACTAACAAGGGAACTCCCAGGTTTGGTTCTTTCTCTCCGGCACAGATTGTGGCTCACGTATCTATGTCCAATATATGTATTAGACCCCCCCCCCTCCTCCACTTTTTAGATTTTAAATCTGCCAAAATCCTTTCAAACCAGTGTTACTCTGTCCTGCTCAAGAGGCGAGGAGACCAACTACTGACCTGAAGGATCAGAGCAAAGCCTTTGAGTGGGCAGCTAATTCCCTCTTTAGCCCTCATCAGCTGTCCTCTGGGCCGTGATGGAGACGAGAGCGATAAAGCAAAGCCAGTCCCATCTGGCAGAAACATACAAAACTAGCTAATAGAGAAAGAATTATAACACTGCATTTGTTTGAGTTCCTTTGAAACAATGACTTGCACAATCACATCTCACTCCTTTATCATTAAACACATTTATTCTTCAAATTAATTTAATAAAGTAACTATTTCCCCACTCAACTCTTATTATTTTATTTCTGATGATCCATTGAGACACTGATCTTCTCACACCACCTATTTCATCAGACTTTTAAATTATTATCCACAGCAGTGATGTGAGATCCCATAACATGATGGTTTTGAATGTACAGTTAAAGCCTCTTTCCTTCTCTTTCACAGATCTTTACATTTTTTAATTTTCTTACATATTTATGATATCACTCATTGTGGCAGTTGTGTCTTTGGAGGTCTGGAGCTGGTGACCTGTGAGTGTAGAGAGAACAATGTTAATCAACTTGTAACTTAATTACTATTGAATTTAAATGGCTATTTTTTATCTGAAGACTTTAATTTGTGGAATTAATAATTTGCTTTGCATCAGAAAATCAATCAGTGGTTGTATCAGTATTGATAATATCTATGTGAGGACACTAGTCATCGCCATCATCTCAACCCACATTGTTACTCAATATGAAACTTCAAATAAGACCTAACAATATCAATCATGTCTTTTAATCGTTAAACCTAAAGTTCAACAGTGAGCGGCTGCAGGATTGACTCAGTGGATGTGGAAGGTTTTCATACAGTATAAATGAATCTGATTAAACCTTGTTTGGTTGTTGAAATATTCCAATCACACATGCTGCAGAGTTTCAGCTTCATAAAGTCTTCACTGCTTTGAAGAGACAAACCTGTGGAGTTGTATTTGAAAAGATGATGAGGTACCTCTATAACTAAAATACAGTGATTGATTCGACCGGAATGAAGGTTGTATATTTCTAATAACATTTAAATCAATGCTGCTTCCATAAATCTGCCCCCCTGAGGCCCTGTTACTTACTCACAGTGTCAGTGACTCTATTGCCCCCTGTTGCCCCAATTGAGGAGTAATGCAAGATAAATTGACACTGGGCCCAATTTCATCTTTACTTGAAGGCTGATCTGCTGCTGTTTAGAGTGGTGCCCTAACCTATCTGTTCGCCCTAATGGAGGCCAATATATATAGATGAGTGTGTCTTGCCAGGAAAATCAATATCTGTGTGGCGGCTGATGGTTTTCAAGTGAAAGTGCTTTGTTTTCTGCCACTGCCTCGAAACAAAGAGGCTGCGGCTGCTTCTATTAACAATCCCCAGTCAACCTTGAGACTGAGTCGCAGACAGAGACCGAGATAGAAATAGACAGATGGGGGGTGGTGATGGTGGAGGAGGGTGGCAGCAGTGGTACCAGCATCACTAGAGCGTTAGATTTGGTGGAGGATAGAAAGGCATCATCAGTGGAGCATGGGCAAGAGCTCTGGAGAAGTGTGATGGGCTGTGACGAGGCAGAGACGAGCTGTGAATTGCAAAAATAATCTCTCAATTATGACAAAGATAATGTCATTAGAAATGTGTATTTTGCTCATGAAGAACGGCCAAAGTTCACTAATGATAAAAATGTTAATGCAAACGGAGGTTAGTGGTGAATAAGTTGCAGTTAACGAAACCATTTTTTCGGTGAATGTAGTTTTATTGAAATAAAAACAAGCTTAATCTTGCAATTTTCTAATCCACATGTATAATCAGAGCAAAATCCCAGTTGAACACAATGTGAAGAAAAATTCTAGATGTTAAAATGTCTAGATGTTTTTTTTGTTATTTTCTGAAATCAGATAGATGTCAACAGCAACATCTTTTTCCTTCAGCAGTCTTATTTCAAAAAGCACTGATTCAAGAACTCTTTGGAATAAAATAATTAAAGCATAAACTTTGAAAACAATAGCACAGTTGTCATGTTAGGTTTTTAAAGTAGTTGTTCTTGGCTGAATATGAACATTTTAATGAAAATGAATTTGATTAGCAAAAAACAAACTGTTCTACTTTTCTTCACCAGAGCCCGATCAATTTATCGATAAAATAATCATATAAAGCAATATCTAATACGAGTCTTTCATACGTTGATACCAGTGTTGGTTATGGTTAAACTGTAAAATATCATGCCTCAGTTACATTTCTTTGTCATAAGGGTTTGATACATGACATGTTTTATCAATATATATATATTGGCTGATATGTTGGTATCAGGATTTCTTTACTCCCTATTATCGGCTCCAAAAATACATTTTAAATCTAATTATTGTGCGATTGGCTTCTCACTGAGCCACACTGCTTCTGACAAAAACCTATGCCCTACAATTACTCCATTAATATGTAACAGACAAAAACATGTAAATAATTGCTAAACAACAAAACACAACAACACAAAGTATGTCCCTTTATGACACTAGCGAGCAGTTACTCTTGGAGTTGCACGTGTGCATGACTGAGAATCTCCACAGATACACAAGCAGTCACGGTTTATTATTTGCTCTCCAGTTACCACAGTGATCCAAGGAAATTGAGAAGTTTGTTTGGATTAGAAAATTAAAGACATTTTCAAATTTTCTTGTGAGAAGGTCCATGACAATGATATGTTCAGAAACAAGCAGTGGAATAGATTTTTTTTACTGGTCTCTCTCTCTGTGTGTGTGTGTGTGTGTGTGTATGTGTGTGTGTACGTGTGTGTGTGTGTGTAGTTTGGCATCTACTTAAGAAGGTTTGTAGGAAAGATGAACTGTACACGTGAATATAACAGGTACGATTTTTGCCAGCTACAGGTAAATTAGTATGAGAAAGAGTTTCAGTCCAAATACTGTATTTTTGGGGAAAATAGTAAAGAATCCAACTTAATAAACTTACTAATCACTAGAATAACTAGGAATCAGAGTTTTATACAGCATTACACCATCATATTATATTATATACATATCATATAATGTGCTTCTCTCCATCATATTCTGGATAAGGACACTTATTCGACTGTATAAACATATTTTACAGCTTCATTTTGTTATGACGTAAGAGCGCTCGTTGCTGTTTTCCGATGCACTGGAGTCTGTGTGTGAAAACAACAGCTCCAATGAGACTTCTCCTATTACCTCCACTGAAGAGGTCATGTTTTCATATCAGGTTGTTGGTTGTTTTTGTTAATATGCTAAATGATTTTCACAAAACTTGGAGGAAGGATGGAACATGGACCAAGAAGCCCATTCGATGTTTGTGCCAATCCGGATAAAATCTTTTTTTAGAATTTCCATCATTCGAGAGGTCTTTTAAAAAAATATTTTCACCAATTTCCCAGGAAATGATAGTTTTGGATTGACACTCTTCATTTTCAGTCCGTACATCAACCAGATATTTCAGCATGGCATGTCTGCAGTGTTTCAAGTGTACAGCGGTATCGGTTCTCTCGGCTGAACTAGGAAGCGGGTGACTCCAGGCTTGTTGTCTGGGAGACTGGCGGTGTCTTCTGTGGCTTGAAAGATGAACACGAATATGAACTTGCTGATGATGGACTTGTGGGTTGGGTGATCTCCATGGCAACAGCCGACACCATGGAACACTCATACCCTCTGTTGTGTTTGGAAAATGTTTCCGACTCTTCAGACACATGGTTGTCACCTGATGAACAAAAAATAAGAGCATAAAACAGTTTAGTTGCACTCTTATTTTAAAGGATATGAGATGAACCGTCAACATCAGTTTGAGGTACCTGTCTCTGAAGAACACGAAGGACATATGGCTCTCCTGGGACAGCTCATGGGGGGGACGGCCTTTCCCTCTGCACCATTTTCCATCAGCATGTAGAACTGCGTAATCACACATCAACTTATTTAATGATGAGAGATAATTGATTGGACGAAATTAGCAGCAATTATATTGATAATTGATAGTGAGAGGATTTCCTGCTTTAGCTCAAGTATTTTTAGGTTTTGGTCAAATAAAAGAATTTCAAGATGTCTTGTCAGAGGTTTTTTTGGAATTTCATAGACTGATGAAAATGAAAATAGTTAGTTGCAGCCATAGTGTTTTGCTCCATACCTTAAAAAAATGTTCATGGTTTCATGAGCTTTAGTTGGATTCATTTAACCTGAATTTGGATTGCTTGATTAACTTGTAACCATGGTGATGACGGTCTTACCCGAGGCACAGGGGTGGTTTCTGACAAGCTCTCGTCTGTCACACTGGTCTCACTCACATCATCCACTGATGGCTGTTTGTGGAAGAATTTTCTGGTTCTGTAGAGAAGAGAGTAAAACAGTCATCAGAAACATTTAGTATTTTTATAACTCTATAAATGAGTCCTCAAATTCAACGCAATATTTTTGGACTTTTTGGAATTTCCTGATTTATTTAAGTTTTTTGTTATTAATTTAAAATAATTTCAGAGTTCTCTATCTTTTAGAGTGCTTTATAAAATAAGTTAAGTATAATTATTAAAATTAGTTTTTACGATCATGGAAGGAAAAAGGAAAAAAATTGCACGGAAACCTGAATACACACAAATGGTTTAAAGCACATTTAGGATTTTCTCAGCTTTCAGTACTTTTAAATACCTGTTGACCAGAGTGAGTCTAGATTCACTACATTTGCTTTATTTGTCATAAAAACACCGAGCACAAGACACACGGTTTTATTCTATATGATGCTTTACTTGTTTGTGTCTCAGAAGACACTAAACCTCCAAACTCAAAACCTGCCCAAGTGCACTTGCAGTCAAGTGCAGAAGGCAATTTGAGGCAGAGCTATTGGCTGCCATGTAGCGTTTCCACTGGGGTCATACCTCACCGGCTTCCATTTTGTAGCCGAGAAATGACCTATTTTTATGTGTAATTGCTGTAGAACAAGCTAAACCAAGCATGTAATTGAAAGCGTGCCACTTCCACAGGGGAACCAAGGGCTGCGAGCGATAGGATGTGGTATGTGTAGGGGGGAGGAGGACTGTGCTTTGTGAGTCAAAAGAGTAGAGGATGCCAACAGCCTTGTCCGTAAGCCAGCGAAACAACCGTAAAACAAATCAGCTACTTAGAGACAGCTCAGGTGGAAACACAAGGGGGTGGAGGAGGAGGAGGAGGAGGGTGTGTGGTTTACGTATACGCTCCTCGCTCGGCCGGGTTAGGGTTGCATGCTGCCATTCGTTCCACATGTGATCTGCTCCCTGACCCCCTGCTGTCATGCCGAGACACTGACATTACACGGATCATGCCACCATGAGTTTGATAGACACCTCTAAATTCTGTCAGCTCATTCATCGTTGAGGCCGTCTGTGCTGCCCTGTGCTTCCACTGTCCACTGACTACACACAACACTGCTTATACTATACATCATTACTGTGGTGAATACACAAGCACACACTGGTACATAAAGGATGTGTTGCTCTACATGACAGAACTTCCCCAAGAGTATTTTTCAAAGCCTATCAGAGACTCACATGAACCATTTCAGTAAAACCCAGTTAAACTAAATCATTTTGGGTTCATTAGTGTCTCACTTTGTCAAAACAAGGCAAGTTTTTTATTGTTGCACATGTTATTTTTTTAAGGGAAAACCAGGTTAACCCTTAAGGAAAGTAGTTTTGATCAAATGGTTAAAATTTCCTTCCAGGAATTCCTTTCTTGCCCCCCCTCGTCCTCTCACCCGTAGCAGTAGGTGACGCAGGCAGCGATGGAGAGCAGGGAGATGAGGACCACCATGCAGGCCGCAATCACCACGTTCCTCCTCTTCTCCTCCTCAGCCTGCTGCAGCTCCCACCACTCCAGATCACTGAACTGACAACGCTCGCCCATGTAGCCCAACACACAACTGCAACAGATCAACAAAGACACGGTTAAAGATTTTAAAGTTCATTTTCTCTAAAATGTACTTTAAAATCATGACAAAAAATAATGATTAGTCATTTTACACTAATTGAAATATGTATTCAGTCAATGAAGCTGATGTTTCTTTTCATCACAGATATGAAACAATCATTGTTAAGAATTCCCTCCCCTGAAGAATCTTTGTCATGATGCAGTGGCTTTAATCATGGGACAATAGCGACACCTACTGGTTGTCAGCTAAATAAAATCAGTAAATGTTTGTTTTCATTTCAAGCTGAAGTGAGATGCCAGAAGAAGTTTGGGAAAAGAAAGATTTTCCTGTTAAAATTTTGAGTGTCTTGATATTTTAAATCTCTTAAACATATGAATAGAAGCTTATTATTAAAATTCTTTACTACTGAATCAAGCATCACTTCCTCTGAGATATCAGCAAACTGTTAAACAAGGAGGTTGAACATGACATAAGAAGGTTTATTTACTTGCAGGCATATGACTCCATCTCAGGAAAGTAGAAGCAGACTCCCTGGTACAGACAGTAGGATTCATGGGTGGAGGGGCAGCTCTCCACTGAGTTACTGATGTGGTGCAGGGTCGTCACGTCCGCAGGGCTACCGGTCGTCACCCACGGCGATGTGGCCTCCAGCTCTTAAAATGTGATTGAATTTGACAAATACAAACAATGTCAATGCTTTATTTATAATCTGCTATTTAAAATACAGCTTGTTTCTTAAAGTATACACTGATTTCTGCCATTGGTTAAAGAGCTAAACCAAGAGCTTAAAGAGCTAAACCAAGCAGTCCAGATGTTAGAATGATTATTTTCAGGTTAATTATAAGAAGATTATAAGAAGTTTTCATGTATTCAAGTATTTTGTGAGTTTTTTTTGAGGAGGCATCAGGCTCAGAATAAGTAATATGTGGCAAAGGTGAATATAATCGTCCAGGTTTCAGTGTTTGTCATAATCTAAAATCATCAAAAATCTATATATGTGAATATTTACAGTAAATATTCAACACACACCTTGGCATGTTTGCCCGTCGCTGTGGAATCCAGCCTGACATTTGCAGAGATACTTCCCCAAAGTATTTTGACATTCTGCATTTTTGTTACAGTTGTGTGTTCCCAGTTTACATTCGTCGATATCTGAAACAAAGGGAGAAGAAAAGGTCAATGATCTATAATTTATGTCCATATTCTGAGTATGGTACCCTCACTTAATAAAAAATAACAATTTCAAATCACAAAATACACTTTCATTATAATCAGGCTGCACTTCTCCAGGGGAAAGTATTATTTTATTAATCAACTTGATTAGCACTGATTAGCAACCCAGGAAACACATAAACTACTATGCAAATGGAACTGCAAGAAAACTAAGCTCCTCTAATATATATTTTAAATATTCTCCATATCATTTTCGTCCAGAGCAGCTCTGCCTCTGAATAATGTTTCTACATCAAAAACTCTGTTCCGTTCCCAGGACCTGTGCTAAAACGTGGGCTACAGTTCAAACACCTGCTGCAGAGGGTGAGATAAAGGAGTTTCTGAGGCAAATGTAATGCAGGAGCTTTCTGCAGGATATGTACAGAACTAACTTCACCCCTCTGAGACGCCTTCATGCTGCAGAGGAAAAGATACTCACCCACACACACCTGTCCATCACCTGTAAAACCCTCCAGACACAAACACGTTGGGCTTCTGGCCTGAAGGAGGCACTGTGCATTCACGTCGCAACGCAGTGAGTAGCATCCATTCTGGTCTGACAGAGACGGACACACGAGGGGACGCTACATTAAGTTAGAGGAAGATAACGGATTGTAATAACTGACAATAGTTTAAAGATGCACTGTTACCTGAGACCATCTTGTCAGTGAAGAGCATTGGCTCACTGCGTTTGAGAGATGTTACATCAGTGGGGTCAGTGTCTCCAGACTCTACACAATCAACACAAAGAGTCAACATCAGGGTTTAGTTTTACAACTTAGTTCATCAGTGTCTCCAACTGAAATAGGACGACAAGAAATGAATCACCGTCTGTTCCATTCGAGGCGTCAGTAGACGAGCAACTTCTTCCATCAGCTGACAGGATGTAGCGTGAGAGACAGGAGCAGTGAGCCAATCCCAGTTTGCTTTCACACACCTGGGCACAACCTCCATTCAGGTGAAGGCAAACATCTGCTCCTGGAGGTGTGGACACAAACTGATGATGAGAAGCTCAGTAACGGGTAAAAATCTGCAGAGCAACTGAGTTGGACACTGCTCATATATACAGCCCAATCCGGAGAGTTTCATGAAAATGTCTGGACTTCAGTACATACCACTTTACTATCATCACAGCCTCACCACTTACCACGAACCTGTAAACTGAAACACCCTGACTGATCAGAGCCTCATCACAGGAGTCTCTTTGTACCTGGTTTTGCGAGCGGATGAACCACCACAATGGATGCAGGCTGGACCATGTTGCCATGGATACTCTGGAGTTTCTTCCCAGTCCGCTTGTGCACGCTTGTCAGCTGCCGGAGCTCCCGATCAGAGATCCAGAGCCTGTCCTCGAACACTGCCAGGTCAAAAGGTCGACCTGGACAAATCAGATTAGAGGAGGAGCAGAACTGAGTTGAATTGGTGAAACCAGGTGGGAGTTGTTTCCTCTTTGTTCAGCGGTTCACTCAGTGATGACAGTACAGAAAAGATCACACTGGTTTAACAACAAACTCAACAGATCTTGACCATATGAGGCGGCTCGAGCCAGGGAATGGACAGTTCAGCGGAGGTATGACCGAATTAAGAAATAATTAAAAAAGAAAAAGATGAGAGCTTGTTCCACTGACGGACTTTGGTGAGCACTGAGGCTCACAACTAACTTTTAAAGAGTTTCATCGGTAGAATGTATTGCAGAAGTGAAAAGACAATTTAAAGAATTGAAAACGGGGAAACAGAACCTGTACATGTTGTTGTCTTGCTTTGTGTCTATTAACACAGCCAAAACATAACAGGGGTTTCATAGACTAAATAAGTGAGTTTTTTTTAAAGAATATACTATATACATATTTGTCTTTCTGTTTTCCCCTAATCCAAGTATTCAGTTTTGTTTCTTCATTAATTAATATATATATAAGAATAACAATAATAAGTAGTAAGTTTGAATGTGTGATGTTTATCTCACCTGCTGTCAGAGCCTGTTCCACCTGAGCTCAGTGTGGATGAAGCCTCTCACTGACTTGTTCCATCACATCACAGTGTCATTCTCAGCCTGATGTTTCATTTAACACCTCAAACCAGGCGAGAACACATCACAGACTCAAAGCTGCCGTGTCGCAGTTTGTTCATCAGATAATCAGAAACACACAGTTCGAGTTGTTCCTCCACAAAGAGCTAACAGGAGGAGCCGTGTGGCTTCAGGCCTTCAGCAGAGGATTCAACCGAGGGAGCCTGTTCTCCTGTGAGTTTCACTACAGGTCAGTTAATCATGTTCAAGTTATAAACGCTGGGGACATTGATGGATTGAAAGAGTCGTTCAGAGGAAATTATAAAACAGGAAACTCGAATCTATTGGTAGCCTTTATGCTAGGTTAGCTAAGAGCTAACGTTAGCTCGCTAGCACTGGCTACAGCTAGCTAGCTAGCGTTGCCACCTGTTGGTTAAAACAGCTCCACCTGTCTGAAGGGGATTTAATTCATAACAAGACAAATTCAGAGTGAATCTTACTGTTGTATTAATACTACGATAATAACACCGGAGGGAAGTGAATATTATTTTGAATAAAATATTGTATTTAAGCAATATACTCAATTGTTTTAGGTGTGGTTTTAACAAGGGAAGAAAAATGTTTAAATATTACGAGAATAAAGTCTCAATGTAATGATAATATAGTCAGAGGCTAATAATATTACAAGAACAAATTAGTAATTTAAGTCAAAATTTAGGGAATAAAGTAATTTAACGAGGAAAAAAAAGTCACAATATTTTAAGAATAAAGAAAAAACCCATCAGGACGTTGAACATTGAACGGCAGCAACATAATACAATTGTTTTCCAGAGTCATAGGATTTCTGCTTCTTGTTTTTGTGCCATTTTACTAGCAAAGACCTCAGAATTTGTATTTGCCACCAGTCAAATCAGAGGATATGTTTTCAACCAAAAATGAACAGGGATGTGACACAAGGGCAAAGTTCCTGGAGGGGTCGCTCTCATCTATTAGAAGAAGAACGCATCTGTTAACCTGGGTAACACTAGATTTACAGTACGGATTAGTTAAAAGTTTGAAAAATATGCATCTGATAACTATTTTCACTGTTCTGAACTGTTTGACATTTACTTCCCCTTCTATGGAGGCCGCTCAGGGCATTTAGAGCTCAGCTTGTTCGGCTTAACTCGGTCAGATGCTGCTTGAGTTCAGTTTCTAGTGTACTGAGTGGGCGGCAGTGGCTCAGAAGGAAGAGCGGGTCATCACTAATCGTAAGTTCAATTCCCAGCTCCTCCAGTCTACACGTTTAAGTGTCCTTTTGCAGGATGCTGAACTCCAAATGGCCCCTGAGGGCTGTGCCAGCAGTGTAAGAATGTCTGTGTCAGTCATGGACCATGTACTACGTATAGCAAGCACTGTCTGAGTGTGTCAGATACATCAGATAGATGGGCTTAGTCTCTCAGCTGTAGCTCGAAAGCTACCTATATATTTTTTATCATTACCTGTATCAGCTGCGCTTTGTCAACTTGACTCATAGTTCATGAGGCTTAGGTGAGTTATAGCCTCAATTCTAAAATCAAGTATTTTTTTATTACTGCCATGATGTCATGTTTTTTATTATTCAGTCCACCTCTACATGTTTGCTTGTGCACGTTTCAAACAAGCCTCACCTACTTGGTTCTCTAATAGGATTCGCCGGTCTGAGCCGTCCAGGGCAGAAGTCTCCACCAGACCCCTTTGTTGGTCGCACCAGAACAGACGATCCTCTGTGAAATCGATGGCCAGGCCGCTAGGTGACACAAGGTTGGTGCTGGCAATGATGGTTCGCTCTTTTCCTTCCAAAGATGAGCTTTCCACCACAGGCTGGGCACCGATATCAGTCCAGAACAACTTCCTCAAAACAATAAAAAGACATATATTAGGCAAATGTATTAATCTGTTCCACAGACCCTTCCCCTCCTGTCCATTATCACAGTTAGGCACAAAGACATGTATCCAATCATATTTTTTATGAATAATTGAAATAAAGTGTATGAAGGACATGCACTAGAAATATATTTTTTTTAAATTATATATGGTAGTAATTTAATTAATGAATTGATTGAAAATACACAATATTCTGCTGGTGAGTCACTTTAAATTTCTTCTTAAAAACTCACTTTGCCAGAGGATGAACTGTGATTCCTCTTGGTTTTTCCAGCCCTTTGCTCACAATCGTTTCTCTGTTTAGTCCAACCAAGCTACTGCAGTCAACAGTTGACCGACTGGAACACAAAAGTTCAAAAAAGTGTAAAACTGAAAACAAAAGTCATACCAGTTTTGCTTATTTTTAGCAACACAGCAGTCACCTGAAAATACTAATCCCACTTATCACTAATCCAAAAAAATTATAAAATGTCACACAGAACTTAGATGAGGTAAATAAAAACAAAACAGACAAGCAGAATTTAAAATTACCCAAACATTAAAAGTCACACTAACAGCATAGAGCATAGATATAACAATTTTCTCATCCACACTTCACAAACCTTGAATCCGTCCAGTACATCCTGCGGTGGACCCAATCAATCGCCAGTCCCTCTGGAGAGTTCAGATCCTCAGAAATGACAACGCCTCTGGATCCACCGTTCAAATCGATCCGCTCAATTGTCTTTTGGTTTATACTGGAGAAGTACACCTTCAAAATGCGTAGGAATTTAATAAATACATGTATGTATCAAATAACATGGCCAAATGATAAACCAGACAAACAGAAAAGATAAAAAAACAGCTAGTGTCCCCTGTGAACTTAAAGGCCATGAAATTACAGTATCTGTCCACTAGGTGGCAGTAGAGGTTTGCACCTGAATCTGCCTCTGTTAAATTCAGTTGCTCTGTAGTAGTTATGACAATACCCACACAAAATGGCAACGAAAGAAATGTTCATCTTACATTGTTTTGGACAGGGTCATAGTCCAAAGCTACGATTGTTCCTCTGGGCTCCTCCACCAGGGTTTGATCCCCTGTGCCGTCTGGGTTAATTCTTAGTACATCTACAAAATTGGCAACTAGCAGATATGGTGGTGGTCCTGAAAAACACCAGTGCAGTGTTTTTTGTAATGTCCTCTAGCAAATATCAACCCAGTTTACAGTGAGATTATGACAGACAGTATCTGCGTGGGCTCGTGTGCCTCAGCTTTCTGCTTTGCCACGGTATGACTCACCGGTTGCAATGCAGCGCTTGCTGTCCTGGTGGAGCTGGTAGCCTGGCAGACAACCACACTGCCACGTACTCGGGGTGACGGGAGTACACAGCTGGCTGCAGCCCCCCATGTCTGTCGATGAGCAACCTACAGCAGCAAAAAAAAGGTGCTCCAATGATGAGCATTTGATCTCTGCAACAGGTTGCACGTAACATAAACCAGTTACAGATACGACTGTGAAAAGCTCAGATTGGAAGATATCGTCCAGCAATATATCGCTCAGGCTCTAGTTTCTTGTAAAGACAGCATTAAATGTACATGCATTGTATGCACATGTAACACCAGTGAAGTGTCCAGTGTGACACAAATAAACAAATAAAACGTACCTTCAATCATTATTATGTCCTACTACAAAGTGATGCCACCATTTTTATGACCGTTATCTCCTCAGGCTTATAGCCGACCACAAAGGGCTGATACACTAATACTGTACATACCACTACAGGCTTGTCCATCATCCTGCAGTATAGATCCCTCAGGGCACACACACACGTTGCCCTCATCTGTTGTCAGACATCCGTGACTGCAGTTGGTCATATTCCCTTCACATGGCATGATCTCTGATAGTGGAAAGAAAATGTCTTGAAACACTGCGGATTCCTTCATTGTGACAGTTATCTTAAAACTCATATAAACTCAAACAAACAAAATCACTGCCTAAAGGAAGTTAATGAGAGTCATACAGGTATGTTACATGTTAAAGTATTTCCTGGGTTATTTCTGGGCCCAGCAGGTTGTAGACTCTAACAGAGCCAGATGGACAGCAAGCTTCTTATTCCCTGCTCTTCTAAAATCCCTTTTATAAAGTTAACCATAATCCCATCAAAATAGGTGAAAGTGTGATGGATGCAGGTGAAGCCCTCACAGTGATGGTGATGTGATGTTACCTCACAGGTATGTGGTATGTCCCCGTATCTGTCAATATGGGCCAGGTATACACAGGCAGGGTACAGATATCAATCTAATGTGAAATAGTTACGGGACCCGTTGCTGTGCCTCTGACTGACTTCCTACTGGTACGATTATTGCTCCAGCCAGGTTGATCTTTGCTTTTTCAAGTAAAAAAAACTGTCATTAAATAGAAACTGTAGTTTTAACATTAACTGAAGAATACATTTGCAGGAAAAGCTGCACTGCACATAAATATGATGAAGAAATGAAAGGCAACGTGAGAAATAGAATATCCTCCTGCATGAATTCTCTGCTGCTGCCTCGTGTAGTCTGCGGCTGCTTGGCTGCATGTTTGTTTTCTCATGGACCTTGGCAAAGGTTGTCTGCTAAACAGCTTAGACAGACAAAGCTGCTGACCAGATATGTTCCCTATTGCAAATGTCACCTCATCATTTAATCTCATTGTGTCTGTGAACCTTTCCGCCACTGTTGGGCTCGTAGCTGCGAGATTAGAAGAGAAGAGATTACGATAACGTCTTTAATATGTTAGGAAGTTAATCACAGCGTAGACATTTCAAACTCTTGCTGTTTAGTTTTTTCATTTTTAAGGTGGCAAAAGATACGCATTCATAAAAATTCACTAAATCAATCACTACTAATTTATCATTAAACAAATATTTTATATCTGAAAAAATCTTTATGTTACTAATTAAAGTTTTTTTATTGACTGCAACACGTTTGTGCCAAAATAAATTAAAAAACAACGTGTTGTTACGCAGGCAGACAAAACAGACCTGCGTTATGGCTGAGAGGAATGACCCGACACAGATTCAGATGCAGGTATAGAAAAAAACTATATGGAATAACTGGATTAGTATAATTATATTAGAACTAAAAGCATGTTTCTAACTCAGCTCCTGACAACAAACAAGTCAGCTATCTTTGCAGAATGTCACAATAAAAATGCATTTTGATTGGCCATGATAAAAATTGTAAATATAAATCAATGTAACTTTAAGACTTCAATGTGACACCCTTGTTTTCATCTTTTTAATCGTTACACAGCTTCTCAGGCTCACCACGACTGGGCCTTTAGAGAGTGTGACAAAGTGTCTGTGACCCATGTAACCTAACACACAATTGGCAGTTCACATAAGTCCAGCCTGTCTGGTTGTCTGTGACCCAGGCTTTTTATTGGCCCAGCAGGGTCAAGATAGTGTCTAGGGGACAAATGCCACCTTTCATAGTCCCCAAAAAGGGAAGATGCTCCAGTTCAAAAGCAGAGCTACATTCATTATACTGACCGAAACAAAGGACAACTGTTATTTCAATAGAACCAAAATGTTTCTTCTCTCTTATTCCATATATTTAAGATCATTCACATCTAGGACACGATGTATCATAGACACCCTTAAAATTTGAGCAACATCATTCTTTAAAAGTAAAAATGCATTAAGTCCATAGTCCGTCAGCAATGATCCTGCTAATCCACAAGTAGCGGCTTGTGCTAAGTGACCTTAAATAATTAAAGGAATCTTAGCATAAGCCATATTTAAAGGAATAAAAAAACAATATAATTGAAGAGAACAGAACTAATAGAAATTAGTTATATGAATAACATGATAGTTATGCTAGCAAATCTGCTTCCACTCTACCTCGACATATCTTCCTGTCTGGTAGGAGGGCGTATCCTTTTGGGCAGGTACAGAAATAGGAGCCTGGGATGTTCTCACACCCAAGAGAGCAGCCATGGTTCCAATGGGCACATTCATTCACGTCTGTGGCACACAGACAAATTAATTGGTATACTGTTATGAAATTTGTGAGACTCATACCAGCCTTGATGAGAGAAGCAGTCAATGAATCACTTTAATCAAACAGCTTCACCAATATTTTAAAATTTTTAAACTACTATTTGATGTAAATGCAAAAATACGAACCTTCACAATGAGTGCCTTGCTTACTTAGAGCAAAACCCTCACCGCATTGGCAAGCCCCTTGTTCAGCCATATTGGAGCATACATTCACACAGTTTCCACTCCGTATGTCACAACCTGTTTGAAAGGGTTAACAAAGTATATGTCACTAAAACATTGTCATTTGAGTTATAGCTAATAAGATAAAATGCAATGATAATGATGTGCTACAGAGCATAATAAATGGCAAAGTTCAGTGGCAACCTGAAAATGAAGATAGGGAGTCGGCCAGTGGCTGGTTGAGGGGATGTACCACCTTGATTCCTATCAGGGGTTTTTTCATTTGCTTTGTGTTCACATCCAGTGCATTTCCACCAGTGTACTTGTTTATTTGTTTTACAATCCGAGATTCAGCATCAGTGTAGAATAAGTACTCCAAAAAAACTGATATCCCCAGCACCTGAGACCTAATAAAAATAGTAAAACATACAGTAGAATTAAAAAGAATAAAAGTGAAAAGATGAGTAAGTATTTGTAATACCATATACTCACCTAAGTGGCTGATCTATAATGTGAAGGGCGTTTCCGTTGTAATCACAGGAGGCAATGGCGCATTCTCCTTGGAGACCAAACTGAACCCAGAACAGTCTCTTGTCTTGTCGGTCAATCGTCAGAGAGTTTAGTTGCTCTGCTATCTTAATAAGTGTAGTTTTTCCCTGCCCTATGACATCAGACCTCTGGATACTGGGAGTCATCCCACCAGACAGCCAAAAAAGGAACCTGCAAAAGTATGTTTGGAACTGAGAGAGAGGACTTTGCAAAGGAGTATTCCAAACCTTCTCCATATTTTTCTCCACATCCATAGATGCTTTTAATAATGACAATATTCTGTCATAGACATGTTTAAGAAATGTAAGAGATACAAAGGAAAACTTTATCAATTTTTTTTTAAAAGAGACTAATTCTGTTTTGATATGAGCAATTGGTGGCATTCCACTTAAGTGTCTTTTTCTAGTGTCAGACCAACTTTTCCCATTAACCTTCCAAGTTGTGAAATGCACATGGGTTGTGCCCAGTGAGTTGGCACATTGCTATCTTGGGGCAGTGGAAAACACCCTTGACAGACAAAACCCTGGTCTGGAGTCATTGGTGCAGGTTTTTACTAGATAGTCATATGCACCTACATACACTTGTGCTTGCTACATACACAGACGGCATTTTTTGTGCACAAAGTGAATTTCCTCTTAATAACAGTCTGAAGAGGCACAAGTGCACTAAGCTTTTAAAGGGAATATGAACTGGCTCTCTGTGTGGTTTATTGCATGTCATGCCTGAAACAAACCTTTGATTAATTAAGAGGTGAAGAAGAAGGCTTTTTGAACTACATACTTCTTGCTGCAGCCTTTTATTTCTGCTCATAATCTAGCAAAAGGAATTTTGACACACACTTCAGACCATGCGCTTAGATCATTAAAATAGAGCCCCCAGTCAGTCTGGCATTTTGCACCTCTGTGTCAAACCGTGCTTGACGCAGTGAGATAAAACATATGCACAGTAGTAACACACCAACAAAATGCCTGGAATCTTAACCTTGTGAGGAATTGATGGTATTTCAAATATAATATCATTTGTTTTTTAAACTAACCTACATGAGATAAAAAAAGCCCCATCATGACAAACGTCGTGATGCAGAATTGATTACCTGTTTGTGGGGTCAACAGCTATGGAACTCGGTTGGTTCAAGTGTCTTAAAAGAGTTCTCAGATTTTTCCCATTTAAATCCATTCTCTTGATTTTTCCCTTTTCTCGACTTGTCCAATATACACTGTTCCAAATCCAGTCCACTGCGAGGCCCGAGATGTGTTTGTCAGATGAGTGCAGTTTCTGGAAAACAAATATGCAAATTAATATGTTGTTGCTCAAATAGAAAGAAGAAGTTAGGAGTTATACTGATGAGTTACCAATTTAGTTCTTTACAACTTTTCAGAAGTTATATAATAACCTGTTTTTGTGCTTCTCTCACTGATGCCTTGTAGATGACTCCAGTGTGTTTGTTAGCCCAGTAAATACCCTCCTCTCTGAAATGAAAGTCGAACAGGATTGACCTCCCCACACCGGCCAAAAGTATCCTCTGATGCTTCCCATCCAGGTTCATCCGATGAATGGCTTTACCATGACCGAATATCAGGAAAGGCTGTGAAGCTTAGAAAAAAAAATCAAACATCACACACATTCCTTTACATGCCGAAGGGAGTAAGCTTATAAAAATGTTTCTGATATGTTATTTCCAGAATAATCTTTCCTTTAGTCATATTGATTTTTCTAACGTTTATAATATTTGTCTGCGATCTCTGCCTGCTTTATTCATGCAAGCAATGTTTCTGTGTGTTCATAGGGCCATTTGTTAAACATACATTCTGAATGAGCAACAAGACTCTCATAAGCACTCAAATCAGGTGTTGCCAGCACACAGAGTATAAAACCAGACTCAGTAGAGTGCATACCTTTGCTGTAGCCAAATAATCCCCTTAAATTCAAAGAAGCCTTACAGTTCAGGCCATATTACGTTATCTCAGCTGTACATGGGTGGTAGTTACAGATTTGTAGCCCTTTTTGTTACCGAACAACTTCCAACCACCAACAAAAAAACGGACAGCGTCAAAAACTCCCCTGCAGAGGTTATGACACAATACTAGTGAAATGGCAAAGACAAATTTTGCTCAATTTACATACTGATTTGCAACAGCATATGAACTCATTCAGGGTGTTCTGGTCATTCACGGTCATGAACAACCATGGATACTGCTTCTAACTCGATGGAATGAGCAAAACAATGAGCACCACCAGACAAACAACACAATGAAGTGTCTGGCCTGACATCCCTAAGATGGCCACTGATGCTGAGTTGCTAGGGAAGCATCCTAATGAATCATTGATTGACAAGTTCACAGGGTGGTCAACATGATTCTTCACCTAGTTAGCTCAGTTCACTGGATGTGTTGACAAAATGGGTACTTTCAAACTGACATTTTCCATTTTATAATATAGGTATTGGACCTGGCAGCAAAGGGACAAAACAGAATGTGGTCTGAATGCATGGATAGGAAATCATTAGACATTGATTTTTCATTTTATATCATGGTAAAATTCTTTAGGACAGTCTGCATGGTTGTTTTGGCTGCTAAGCCAGTTCATTGGGTTTGCAAATGCAATCCTGTTGCTCATCAAAACATCAAACTTCTCAAGTAATGGAACTGTGAATGAATTGTTAAAGCCGCAGAAGGTAACAGTTCATATTGACTTAAAGGAGTTGAGCGATATAACAACATAGAACCTGAGACAGATATATATATATATATAACAGATTTATTTCAGAATTCTGTTTATACAAGGGTAGTAGAAGTACCTTTTGATGCGTCTAGTTTCAATTGGCTGTTTGAAAAAAGCAAATTATCTGACCACGACCCTTGACACAAGATTATTATATTGTTTTTACTTGTTTATATTCTGTTGAGATAAAGATACACTCCATCTGTTATAACAGTGGCTGGTCCTGCATGAAAATGTAGTCACCATTTGTAAACCTAAGGTGAGGTCCCTGTGGCATCCCACAAAAAACTTGGGCTCATGATGAGATACACCCACTCATCACAGGCCATCTAACAGTGCACATTCGGTACAGTGCGTTGTATTGTCTGCTTAGCCAAGTTCAGTGAGTGGCTGTGTTTTACCATCAGTTGCTCTGCTGTTACTTGAGATGGGGTCGTTTTTGTCTAAGCAACTTGTTTTGTTATTTTACATGATAGTGGACAGCAGAGTATGTAGTAGCACTGCGCCTACACACTTGTGGTGTATACTGTACCTGTAAATTAAAATGTAGACCTTTTTCTTTGCCAACCACAATAAATCTTCAAGAAAATCTCTAAACTACTGACACAGATGGTTTAAGGACCCCAAGACCTCTACACACATCAGAATCTAAAGTAGTCTACAGTACTTTCGGTGTCACTTCTGTCAGTCCTCTGTATTGGGATTATCAGTCTTGACCGTGGAGGTGTCAAACTCACCCACACAGCTGCTGTTCCTCCCCGCTCGTGACAGGCGTTCATCCCAGCAAGCTGTTCCGAGGGCCAAGGCTCCAGATCTTTGCACCATAAAAAAGATCAGCGCTGCTGTGATCGTTGCAGCCAACATAATCCTGCGCCTTGCTCCTGCCATGGGAGCTGCACTTGTTCACTATTTCTCAGGCATTCCCACTATCAGAGCTGGCGCACAAGAATTCTCCAAAATTAAGCAACGTCTGCTCATTGACTGTTGGCATCCTTGACCGACAGTGAAGCTTTACATACCAGGAAATGTCACACTAAGAGATGAGCCCAACGCCAAAACCCCAATGGAAAAGATGGAGAACTAAAGGAGGTGGGATACAGAGGGTTTAACTGCTAAGAGAAAAACAAAGTGAGTGGGATCGTGCTCGCTCCCCACTTTGGCCCCCAGAGTGCCAGTCTGTTTTGGAAGCAAAGATTGAAATTCCTGACACCCCCGTGGTAAATTTTGCACATGCTAGTCCAGCATCGGAGCAGGATCGTCTTTAAGCTGCAGTCAGTGTCTCAAGCAGAATGTGGAATATGCAAGAATTGAGGCTGGGCTGACGATAGGTCCCACATAACAACAAGTCTTACCCTCTCCCCACCCCCTGACCCTGTCCTCTCTGAAAGTGGATGGACATTTCTGTTTGAGAGTTTTTGTGTCTGGGAGAGAGAGAGACATCGGATGTGAGGCTATTAGACGAGACGCAACGCTGACATTTTTTATTATTTAGTCATTGGGAGAAAAATTGATCTTTTGTACTTGTACCATATCAACATTCACAAATGACCTACACATACAGTAAAAGTATAATTTATACATGCCACACAAAAAATAGGCTCTCTGTTTTGTGTCCTGTGTGTCAATGAGAAGTCAGTGTGTCAGACTGTCTCCTGCTGACATTCATGTGGCTCCCAGAGAGAATCTGTAAAATTAGTAATTTATAGAGATTATCCCCTAATTGTTTGTCCTCATTTTACCCAGGAGAACAACTAACAGACAGCAGGAATCAAAACCTCCATTCATACCCTACATGACTAGGATATTGTCAGCAACAACGTCACCAGTAAGCTTGTAGAGGAGAGGTAGAAGATTTACACGCCTGAGAAAGTTGCCTTGTCTCCTGACTAATGTTAGCTGTCTGAAGGGCACTGACCTTTTCCCACGGTATCACCCTCAGCAGATAACAATGAATATGTTAATGTCACTTCAGGTGACGATTGGCCCGAATGACAATCACACATGGGGTTTGAATCATTGGGTAAAGACTGTATCTAGGATACACCAAGAGAGTGAAGATGCTGCAGCCATATTAAATGTGACCTCATGTCATTGCTCTTCCTCAATTCCAAGTGATGGATCTTGATTTAAAAAATCTGTCATGTTTAGCGGACTGATATAATTTCATGCATGCAGTCTGGTGCAGATCCAAATAAAAATCCAGATCTAGTGAATTTAAATGTGGTTTGAAAGGGAGTAGTTTTCAGCTGCTTCACATTAACAGAGAGGACTAGAAAACGCCAATCTGTCGCCGAGATCAGATTCAGTAGGGAATCAAAATTTTGTATGTATCTTCAATAGTTTTAGAACTATGTCCAAAATATCTTGGTGCAGAATTGAAGGGGACTGCTGAGCCCTTGTGGAGTTATGAGCGCTACCGTGGAATAATTGCTACCTAGACCAAATGTGTTTGACGGACTAAACTTGACAATATTGACCAGAGTTGTCAGGTCACACTTACCATCATTCATTTTACAATTTCACTATACTGTTTTGCTTGTTGACTTTATTTGAGAGTAAGGTTAGTAAGTTAAGTTTGGTTTACATCCATCATTTAAGATGCTAATCCAGCTATTCAGACCGCCTTCATTTCATATATCACAAATTTCTTCCATGACGACACCTCAAAAGGTTTTGAGTAATGATTTTTCTTTTTGTAAGTATTACACGTGACCAGTTTTCCACTCCTCTACATTAGCCTTGTTCCTGGTTTCTAAGAGATTTGTGATGCAACCTCTTGAAGTATCTTACTTGCAGTTGCCTTTTGAAGGTTTGATTTAATGCACCACAACCAAGTAGCAACTATGAAACAATAGAAGAAATAGAAATCTACTGAATCTTGTTATATCCAACAAATAAATTGTCTGCTATGAAGGATAGGTAACTTTAAGGCAAGAGGACAAGGGCAACAGAGAGAGGGGACAGAGAGAAAGACAGACACAATGATAGAGTAATTAACCATCTGTTCAGTCATAGTTTATAGATCATTAACAGCCGTTCCTTGTCTACCATCCATTCATTCTGTTTGTTAAAACCTGGCTGTTGCCATAATAACAGCACAGCTGGCATTAGAGATTACTTATTGCTGCATGCTCCTACAGATGGTGGCACAGAGGTATCCATGGGAACAGTTTCCCAGGTCCACCCTTCATCTTAGCCGGATTTACAGCAACGCCTGTTCAGTCGTGCAAAGACAACTGACGTGACAATTGTAACCCATTGATTTCTCAGGATGAAAATGCTGTTGTTTACACATCAGACATGTCTCACCTCTTTACATAAATAACACTTATACCACTTTACTAGTAGTAACCACTTATATTCTGTTAATAATTGATAATATACCCTTCTCTTAGTCTGTATGCCTCTGCCTCAGAATAGCATGATGGATGCACTATATATAGCACAAGGAGCGCTGTGTGTATTGTAACAATAACATTTTGTTTCACACATTGAAGCCTGGAGATAGCATACAATCCTATGATTAGAGAAAAGGCAAAAAGATCATCACATATTGAAATGACGCTGAGAATAACATGAACTTCTGCTTTCATGTCAAATATTTCCATGATTTTGGTGTCACAGAAATACATACATTTGTTACTTGTTTATGAAATGGTGAGAATTATGCATTGTTGCGTGTGACAGCAGAACAGATAACATTATGATTGACTTAATGTAATGTACATGTGGAGTATTCTGAATTTAGTCACATAATGTAGCCATGTTTAAATGTCTTTATCACATTATACCATCCTATTGGAGTCTTCATAGCATTTAAAGGTCCAGTGTGTAAGATTTAGGTGAAAGGGATCTAATGGCAGAAATTGAATATAAAATAATCCAAGTTATATTTTCACTTGTGTGTTTCATCTCAATTGACGAATTGTTGTTTTCTTTAGACCAGAATGGGCCCTCTCTATTTAAATACTTAATATTTACCTCTGTAATATTGCTGTCCATGTTAAACAGAGTCACTGATGGGCAACAATTATTCTTGATTTTGGAAACTCATTCATAACATAATATCTCTTTTTTATTTGATAGTGTTATGCATTTATCTACTCTGATAACATGGTACATGTACATGGCACAGATATAATTAAACAGTTTTATTAATGGCTCATTTAAAAAAACTCAATTTATGGACAAATACATACATAAAGAAACTGGCATTGATTTTCCAGATGTGTCACAGATTCTATTAAACACACTGACAGTGCTTTTGTGTCCAGTAAGGCAACAATCAGCTCAATGCTTAAAGCAACAGTGATGTTGTGAATGTGATGGGGAATGGTTAATTGGTCTTCTTTGACATACCATGCGATATTCATACCTGACACTTTAATCTTTGGCATTGAAATAGTATTGAACACCACTCACAGCTAACTGGCAACTCTTTGTATTGTACTAGAAACAATTCAGTTCCACAAAGGTGCTGTGCTGTAGTGACAACTATTGAGTTTTAAAATGAAATATAAGGCTCCAAAATAAACAAGGGCATGAATACAAAAAAGGTCAGTCAAACAGATCTGGTTGTGGTTTCACAAACAGCATCCAGCTTTCATGTCAATTAAGTTTTTGTGAACCATTGAATAAATGTGGAGAGCAGCAAATGGGTGCTGTATCACCTCACACATTTGAAAAAGTATTATTTATAAATATTTATGTATTTATAAACATTTATTATTTTGTAATTAATATCAGTGTCATGAAAGGCAAATAAGGAGAATGTCACATAATGTCTCTCTAAAGTGGCATTTGGGCCTTGGCCATGGATTCCTGACATCAGCAGAGATACTCAGACCGGGAACTGTCGCTCTTATAGGTCATCTGAGAGTCTATGCTCGACCTGGAGCAAAGGAGCATTCTCTCCGAGTCATGGGTTGCTCTCCTTGCCCAAAACTCAGCTGGATGAGAGTTCAGAGTTCGTTGTTTCATTGAAATTGTCTCGAACTTGACATAGCTCTCTTTTTCCAGCTCCTCCTCATCCAAAGCTGGGTCACGTCCTTTGCAGTAGAGAGCGAGGATCTTGTAGACCAACAGCACAATGAGAGGCAATACCAAAGCACAGGCAATGCCACTTATAATCATGAAAAACTGGTTCTGACCACTATCCTCGACAATGTCCAGTGTGTAGAAGTCAATGCACGGATCTTTTCCTGCATCAATACCTTTTGCTATGAGGCAAACTGAGTACCTCATCCCAGATGAAAGACCCTCAAGAAGGACTTTTCCACTGCCAGCATTAGTTTCTTCTGTCCTTTTGGTTTCATCCTCACCATAGGGTGAAAACACAACTGTTAATGGGGCATCGTTTGGTAACCCATCTGCTGTCCAGAGCAACACAGCACTGTCAGGTGTTTCCTCTACAATCTTTAGGTCCTTGACAGACTTTGATGCATCACTTTTCTTGCTTTTTTCATCCGCTGCAAGCTTCCTCCCATTCCCTCCTTGTTGATTCTTCGTTTGTTTTAGTGAGCCCTTCTGTAAACCGTTGCTGGGGGTAGTTTTCGGCTTCTTGGGTACAGTAGGTTGGGTTGGTGTTGTTCCTGGAGGAACTGTAGATGTTACAAAGGGTGAGTCAGTTATGTCTGTAGTGGGAGTCATTGTTGTGCCTTGGCTGGTTGGTCCAGTTCCCATGCTTTGCTTATCAGGTGGGATTGTGGTACTAATGGTACCAGCAACTGAGAGAGAAATAGTGGCTTCTGCGCTGCCAGCAACATTCTTAGCTTTGCAGCTGTAGTTCCCAGCGTCTTTGGACAATATTCCATGCAAACTCATGATGGACCACCTGATGCCCTCCCCTGGTGACTCCTGAACTATAGGGGTGGAAAAAAAAAAAAAAAACACAAAAGTCAGTATACGGAACAAGTCTAACATATTCTTGGCCTGCTTTGCCTGTTCTCAAAAGGTTTATAATCTTGTGGCACCAGCCTTACACAGCTTATTGCGTTATAATCATCAGGCAGTTCGAATTTCCACACCAAAAATTCCATTCTTAAATGGGTTAACTCCCCAAAGACTATATTTTATACCTGTGTTGTTGACTGGAGAACCTTCTGATTTAGCCCAGTACAGATTTGGTGTGGGCATCCCTGTGGCATCACATCGCAGGAGAACATTGCTGCCCAAAGAAGATGTGATCTTGGTTGCAGAAGTCATGACTATTGGTTTTACACAATTGTCAAGTTCAGCACGTTGAAAAAGGACACCAGCCAGATTCTCTGGTCCACTGCAGGTCAGGAATAGGTCCATGAACACCACTGGGGTGTCTGTCATTTTGGAAATCTCTATTAACTTGGATATTTTACAGTCACAGTACCAGGGGTTGTCTTGGAGACCTAGAGGTGAAAAGATAAAACAAATTATTATTATTATTATTCTTTGCTTTTTTTGACCATTGCACCACCTTCACATGCTACATTACTTAAAGCCATTGTTGTTGGACATACTAGAAAGAATCATGGATGGTGAGAGGGCAGTGGAGCAGCAATGCAGCAAAACAAAAGGGTAGTGTCTGCTAGATTTCAAAATAGAAGTCTACTGCTTTTAAAACAAATGCAGTGATGATTGTGCTATAAAATGATGGAGTCATAGATGGAGCATCTATTACTGCATTACAGTCATAGAGGTGGCTGTATGTCTACAAGTGTTGCTTCTTTCTCTAGCACGTGCATCGTAGGGAAGCACACAAACCAGTGACAGAGTAAAAACTTAAAAATACCACATTAGTCTGAGTTTAGCTGAACACCACTTTCGTGGCTGTATTTAGCAACCACCATTACTTTTCCCTTTCTGCTGTAAAAAACCATGACAGTGAAATTCAAGTGCTGTGGAAGTGAACATATCCTCATTTAAAACTCCCATACCAGTTGCACAGGTGCAATAGGTAAGCACATGTACTGATGCATATGAAAGCCCTTTAACCAGATTAGTTCGTCTTAACAGTGGCAAAGCAGCTAAGCCTCTGGCCTTCCTCCAGTTTGTGGCAACACTCTCTTTCCATCAGACTCTCTGTTAGCACACACTTTTATAGGTCACTAAAAGCTCTAACCCATTAATATCGCTGTGGTCATTTTTAT